AAATCTAGGTTTATCTAATGTAAGACTCTGATTTGAGACCAGAGGGGTAAAACTTGTTTCAAGTGCATAGCCTCCATCTGCTCCATGCTCTCAGCCTTAGGAACTACTGAAAGGCACACAGTGGAAAAACCGTTAAACAGAGCTGACTCATAAGAAACCTTAAATGAAACCTTTAAATTCGTGTTCCCTTGTTTTTACCTGTAACTCACCTGTTTACTTTCTCTGGCTTGAAAGAAATAAAGGAAAAAAGGAGAGAAAAAAAGAAAAGGATTTGTGAACTGTCTCTGCCTCATTCAGAAAAAAACATCTTCCCAGCGCTTACAGCTCAGTAAACGGCAGCAAAAGCTTTAATGGAGCATGTGGTTAATCCAGCTATGGAAGAGCGTTTTTTTGTGGCATTTGATTTTCTTTTGCTGGAACAGGAGCTTAATCGCAGCAGCTTGCTTCCTAAAACTGCTCATCTTCAGGAGCAGCGGATTTATGTCATCCGAATGCTTCAAAGGTGTTGATGAGGCTGGGCTTTGAACCCCTTCCCTGCTGAGGAGGAATCCCAGGAGGAAGGTGCCTTGGGCAGCTCCGTGCCTGCGAGGCACCACCGGGTAATGGCGGGAGCGCTGCTGCTGCCTGTCGCTCCGCAGGACCAACAAGAAGGGCACCGTCCTTCCATGAACTGTGCAGCAGAAGGGCAACGCTTAAAACGGAGATATATGTGACAGGGTATATGAATTACAGTGATTTGGTTTGTGTCTCTACCGGATTTTTTGTTTTGGGGTTTTTTTGTTTTGTTTTAGGAGGAATTAAGGAGTAGGGGTTGGAATGGGAATCTGCTACTTCTTTCTTGTATGCTTTAAGGTTTGTGCTGGAAAATCTGGCCCCTGTCAGGGCACTCCCTCTCATCCAAATATGAGGCAAAAAAGAAAAAAAAAAATCAAGCTTGATGTGCTGGATTTTTAGTTGTTGACATTATTTACTGTGCTCTTAACAAACGGTGCCCTAAGGAGAATGAGAATAATGTGCTCCAGCAGCAAAATATGCATAATAAAGAAGCAATTGCCTACGGTTTCCTGGGATTTACTCCGTGCTCTCTACCTCCCTATTCCTTCATTGTTCCAAGCTAATGTGTATTTCAGTTCTGCCATGCAAATATTCAGAAGAGA